CACCAAGCTCCAGCCAGTGTCCTCCAGTGGTTGGGGGGGGGCACACTGTGCAAGCTTCCTGATGGCCCTTGCCCCTGCTGGGAAGAGCTGGCACTGCTGGAGACTAGCAGTGTCATGGCTAGCCAGGCCTCATGGCTGGGTCTGGGGCTGTGGAGCTTGCAAGGCAGATGGTGGCCAGGGCTCCCTGAGCTGCTGGTGAAAACTACATCTGGGGAACTTGGCAGGATACGGTGCTGCACATCCAATGGGCCCTCCTCTGGTGATGTATTACTGGAGGTGCCAGGATAGGGCCAGGGCTTAGACAGGATGCCCAGCTGTGGCCCAGGTCCCGGGGTGCAAGGTGGGCCATCAGTTGCCGCATAAAGAGGCATGAACTTATGGGCACCAGTGATTGTTACCCAGTGTGCCTGCAAAGCCTTGATCTTTATGCAGCACTGCTGCATCAACTGGTTGTGCCTGTGCTTCCAAATCCAGCCTGACAGGCCTCATAGACATAGGTGTTGGAGCGCCCACCCCACTTGTACCTGGCACTGCACTTCTGCCATGCCCCACAGCACCACAAAGTTACCAGTCTCCTCCTTGGCCCAGTTGGGGTCCCAGGTGGAGGACACAGGACTGGGCAAGGAGGATGTCATGGTGGGTCCTACACTAGCTCTCTGGGCCACTGCATGGCTATCCCTGCATTGCTGGCCCTGGGTAGCTGCCTGGAGTGCTCAGCACAGGGGCACAGCAAGGCACTGGCAGCTGCATGGCAGAGGAAATGCCTCATAGCTATGTGGCAGTGCAGTGCCAAGCAGCAGCATTGGGATGCAGGCAGGCAGGCTCAGCTAGTCTGTGAACTGCCCAGGGGGACACAGGGTCTGGAGTGCCCCAGGGCTCAAAATGCCTGCAAGCTCTTAAAGCCTGTAGCCAGGGACTGCCATACAGGCAGCCCAGCCCTGAGGCAAGACAGGCTTCCAGCCCAGAGCCCTGGGGCTGGCCCCCTAGTGGCAGGGTGGACCCAGGAGTAAACTCGCTCCTGAGTTGCGTTTGCAAGTGTGCACACTTACTGAGCAGTAAAAACCCTTAATCTCATGTAAATTTGCTACTTGCATTTGCAGGTAGAAAATTTATGTGGGACTAAGGGTTTTCAATGTATAGTAAGCACTCACACATGTAGACGCAAATGCTTACTGCACAGTAAACTACACTAATGCACATTTGTGTATCTCATGTAGATGTGTCCACTGTTTAGTAGACCAAAATTCATCCCCCATCTCTGGAGGATGTTTTTATAACAAAGTGCTTGGCAATAAACAAAGATTCATAGCAAGCTTCCTCACTGGCTTGGATGTTCCCAGGGTTCCTACTTCAGCTTTGCCCACTGTATGCTTAAAATTTATCTAGAGAGCCACAGATCATTTAGTGGTACATTATGAGGATGAGTATTTGAAATGATAATCAGTCATGTCAAAATTTAATTACCACCTGATCACAGAATAATTAGAAATGTTATGAATATATAAAATAGTCTGTATGTTACAATAATCAATATAAACCTATATAAATTATGTATCATATGTTTAAGCACATTTATCAATATATTCAATAGATAAATAATTGTGATTAATATTTATAGATGGTTTTATATTCATTATTAATACTCATAACACCAGTAAACAACCCGAACACTCTCTGCATCCTCTACCAACAAACCAGCATTAAGAATGTGAAACAGACTGGGCTCAGGGACTTTTTTTAGCCTTGCCTGTCATCCAGTTGGCTTTGAGAACATGGCATGAACCATGGTCCATGCATGTGTCCACCAATCATTTGAGACAGGGCCAGGGACACCTCCCAACCCTGACTGTCCAGAAGTATGCTTAACCATAAGCTAGTTATTAATTCAGCTCTGACTTGAAAGCACCCTCCAGGTATGAAAGAGGGCCACCTGTTAGAGACTTTTTTTTTTAATTTGGAGTTTTAAATTTTTTAATTTTAGTTTTGGTATGTCTGTGCCGATCTGTGTTTGGGAAGTATATGAAATACTGTTGTTGCATTAGGGTATGCCATGCAATGTCTGCATTTTCACTCAAAAAAGAAGATCTTCGGGTGTCAAGCAAGTATTAAGCAAAGAGGGGATATGCACCTTTGGTGCATACAGTGAACAGTGTTCACCTATAGTGAATGCCTGCTTGGCACCAGAACTGATAAAACTATGGTTAAGAAAAGAGCTGATTGCAATAAAATCTAAAATCCTTAAGTAAGAGTATGGTGTGGGAACACATATCAGTTATGGAACATAATCATGGCTTGGTAGTACTACATGAAGCCGTAATAAAAAAGGACTTGTGTGCCGATCTGTGTTACTGTTATTGGAAGTATGTAGGCCTTCCACAAAAATGGTGGATACCTTTAGTGTTTTAAAATAAAATAGTTTATGAAACACTAGGGTTGTCTTTTTAAGGAGAGAGCTGTCCTTTTACAGAAAGAAGAGGTGAACATGTTTGTGAAAAATCCAGAGGAAATAAACCTTATATGTAGCATAATGCAAGGTCCTGCTTTGTAACACTTCACAAAGCATGGTTGTTAAATGTCCAACTCTGCTGCTTAATTACATAGCACAAGCTCAGAACACTGAGTGTCTTACGACAAATGGTTCCAAGGCATGTACAAAATGATATGAAGATCTTATAAATATTTTGAAAAAGTAGTTACCCCAAATTGCACAGGGTTCCCCATAATGCTTGGGTACTCCTAGCGTGAAGTCACTATTTGGCTAAGTACAGACTGTCAAAAAACCTAAAGCTAAATTGATTAAGTCTTTGCAGGTTAATCTAAGCTGCAGAGACTGAACTGATAAGCAAAACAAGACACTCACTTTTAATTCAGGAAATGCAGCCATTTGCCTGCAGTGGCTCAAGCCAGAAGCCAGGGGATGCTAGAGTGCACCTGCTAGCCACTGCCAAAGGGGAGGGAAGAGAAAAAACCCTTCAAGACTTTTTCCCCCTATCTGCTGGAGTGGAAGGGGCAAGGCCAGGCGCTAGCCTGCACTCTGCCTGGGTTTGGGGCTGGGGGAGGATTGGACGGTAGTGGCATTGAATTTATAAAAGCTTGAACAAGAATAGCTCTTTCTCTAAAAAACGATAAACTGAAGAACTATAAACACAGCATGGGCTGTGTGTTCGCTTACAGTATGTACACCTAAAATATCAATTATATATTACACTTCTGGTGTCTAATATTGAATACAATTATTTGCTTACAGATTATTTAATAAGCTTCAATAAATATGTGATAACACTATTTTTGTACTTCAATTATTATAATTTTGTTTTTCTACCTACCTACTATGCTGTTACAGTCACTAAAGTGCCTTTTATGGTTTCAGTAATAACTGATTTAGAGTTTGGGTCTGCTAATTTAGAGTTTGGGTCTGCTTGTGTTAAGATCCTTTATAAACCATGGACCCTGAGATTTAAAGTGTAGAGTAGAAGGGCTATAAGCAAGGCTATAATCAGTGATAGACCCCTAACATACTCACTTCCCTTCCAGTCTGACACTCAACTTTTGTTGACTTCAAAAGGCAAATTTCAAAACCCATTTATTTACTCAGGCATTTCCTGAGTGGGTGCTCTAAGTGGTGGAAGTGGATTCTTTTGTCTTTCCCCAGGGAAGGATTTTTTTTTTTACTGGTTAAGCATCATTAACCTTTCTTTCTTGCCCAATCTAGGTATTTGTTTTTTCACTATGATACAGGATGGGCAGTTAATCCTACAATTAAAAGGATGAATATTTTGGAAACTTTGGGTAGCTTATGTAAACTATAAAACTGGTTCTAAACTAAACCATGTTTTCTCTCAAAAAAAGAGGTCCGTTAGGATGTCCTGAAAGGATTTCCTTCTGTTACTGTAAAAATGCTGCAGTAAATGAACAGAGACGGAATAATTTCAAAACTACAGCTGCTGAGCAATGCTGAGTCCTTTGTTTAGTTCAGCAGTTTGCCTAAAATCAAGCTCATGGGTTAGATCATTTGGGGACCAAAATAAACCACACTGGGACTGATTCTCCACTTTGCTACCTTAAGATTGCACATGTATAAAACTTGAGTGTTACAGTGATGATTCAGTCCAGATATTTAATTTTAATTTAGGAGACAACTTGTTTGTTACACAGTGTAAATATAAATATTGGTTATCATCACAATGGGAAAAGCTGAAGTGGCTTCAATGAATGCTATTTGCTACAAATTATTTCCTTGGAAATTGAAAGAACACATGAAAGCAAGCAATTCAGAGATAAATGGTATAACACAGACTTTTGTGTATTTTTCTTTTTTCTCTGATGATCAAGGAAAGGCAGAGCAGCTGACCAGATTCCAACTTGAGTTCTTTGCTGTTTTGCATCAGATGTGCTTTCAGACCTTAAATCAGTTGCAGGAATTACTTTTTTTACCCAGTACAATATTTACCAGGGAGGATAGCAAATCTACCCAGAATTGAAATTTGTGCAACAAACAATTGTGCAACATCAACACCACCAAAAAAAAATTTCCTCCACACAGGAATTAAACCTCTGAGTTCTTAATGACATTTTAGTTGTTGCTTTATTTATTCAAATGTAACCATTATTTAAAAGACTTACTTCTGCCTTTTGGGAATTCAGAGTCCTAACCATATATGATGGAAGTGAGTTGCACAACTAATTTCAGAAGATGATTTCACTGGTAAATATTCTGATTTGTTTGCCCTTTGATAGAAATGAAACAGAAGCAGCAAGTCATGAAGAGTAGAGATGGAAATTACCACAGAAGTAAATTCCCACAACTTTTCTAGCCTCTGAGAGAAGGATGTGAATGAGGTAAAATGAAATCCTTTATGCCTATGGCTCAGTGTGCTGAAGCAGAGCTGTGCTGCTGAGTCCTGTACTAGAAATCACTATATTTTGGAAGCCTGATTTAAAAAAAACAAAAACAAAAAAGGGTTTTCAGGAAGTCTGGGGGAGGGGCAATGCAGTTTCTTTTTATTATAACGGGCCCCTTTGTTGAGATAGAACAAGAGAAAAGATCTTTCTCCTTGTCCCGCTTACACATATCAGTTATTAGCAGGGCAACTTCCTATCGCTCCTAAGAGGCACTGGGCCCCTGCAGTGGAGAATAACAGAAAGGAGGAGGGGAGCCAGCTGAGAATGGAGCTGCTAGTGCTGCTCAGTGCCCTGGTTACACGGCTGCTCTTCATTTTACACTCTCTGATCGGGGTTTGGAGAGTGACTGAAGTGAAGAAGGAACCCATGTACTGGCTGCTGGCACTGCTCAACCTTCTCCTGTGCCTGGAAACAGGGCTTACCCTCAAGTTTAAGCATGGTAAAGGCTACAAATGGTGAGCATATTCCCTCAAGTCCTCCAGAGGGTCTCTTAGTTCTTTGCATGTACGTTATTGCAGATCTGAGGCTCACTTGAACTGGGCTGCTATTTTATAGCAGGGCTGATTCTTTCTTCAGCTCTGCTCCAGGAGTTGCTCCTGCTTTGTCTTTGTCAAGCGTTGAGGGATTTTTGCATCAGCTGCTACAGCAGGTTTGCCTCTGGGATTTTGAGGGCTTGGGGAGCTTTGGCAACAGCAATGCCAAATCCAAAGGGCTTTTAAAATAGGTAATTTGTGAATAAGGATGTTTGGAAATCAAACTTTGTGGAACTTTGAGAGTCTCCTGCCAGAGACTTTTTGTTCTTATGCTGCAAGACAAAGCACATTTTTTCCTTTGTGTTGGTGCTCCATCTACACAGACACAGAGGCTTTGGGCTCTTTTTGAGTGATACCTCATGAAGTAGCAAGCCTGTGCATGGAACAGATATCTTGGCCACAGCCTAAGTAGTGGACTGTGGAGAAAGCAGACTGCTCAGTGCCAAGGCAATCCCCCACCTCCTCTGATAACCTCACTAATATCCTCAGCTTTCCTAGGCATTTTTTCCTCAGTAGTAGTGCTTGTAGGAGTGACAGCCCTGAGCTAACTCTAGAACAGTATCAACAGACATAAGATGTGTACAAGGCATCGGCACAGCATGGTGTATATTCTACTAAGTATTTCTAATCTAATTGGATGTGAATTTAGAGACTGTTTCATAGAGAAGCCACTGAGTTGTAAATGCTTTGGTAAAAATGAATTTTAAGAGAATTCTTAAAATGTGTACCATATTTCACCTTAGTACAAGACCATTACAGGTGTCTGGACAGCATCTATCCAGAAAGGTTGATTTAGCTTTAATCTTCATCCTTTGCAATTCATTAACATAAGGCAGCCAAGCCAAATACTCTGTAAAAACAGAGATAATGTATTTGTAACTGCCATAATATTGTGCTCATCTATTTTTTTAAAAACTTTGAAAGACAAATCCATAGGTAAAAGGTAAGGTACTCAAAGGGTCATGAATGCTAACATCATCTTGCAAATGTATTATAAAAGTTCAGAGTACTATGGTGAAACAAAACATACAAACATTTCGCAACCTAAACTTGAATATTCTTACAGCACTAATTTCCCTTGTACATTTTAATAATACAATAATACCTAATGATTATAAGTGTCAAAGTATTTGTTATATAGGAGTAAGAAGAGAACATCCTGCTGTTAGCAACAGCAGCTATGCAAGCAGTTGTTATACCAATTTTCAGAAAATTCTAAAAAATATAAAGTAGATACGTTTAAGGCAGTAATTCTCAACCAGGGTGCCAGGGTACCCTGTGATACCATTAGATCCTTTGAAGGGTGCCCCAGGAAGTGTGAAAAGATAAGACAGTAGGGCTGTGCAAAGCTTCAGATCATGATTCAGATTCAGAGATGATTTAGATGATTTGGAGGCTGAATCTATGAATCTGAATCAAATCTCTGGAAGCTTTAGGCTTTCTGAATTGATTCAGAGCTTCTAAATCAATTCCGAAAAGATTCAGAGATTCAGCCATAGGGTATGATGAGGAATCAATTAAATATCTATAACTTTGTTATCTTTTGGCTGATTAGGATGAAACTGTCAAAGATGGTAGGTAGCCTCTGCTGAGTGCATGATTCATGCCAGGTTTCATGGTTCTAGATGCAGGAGTTCCTGGGAAACTGCACCTCAAAGTTCTGAAAGCAAAACTCATGTCACTTGTGTGTGTTAGGCCACAGTTGGGTGAAAACTACAGGAGTGGTATCTCTTGCTGAGGCCACAAATCTTGCCAAGTTTCAAGGAGATAGGTGCAGGGGTTTCTGAGAAACTGCACCTCAAACTGCTGACAAGCAAAACTCATGTCATAGGTGACACTGTGTGTGTTAAGGTACAAGGGGGTGAAAACTTCAAGGATGGTAGCCCCTATTGAGGCCACAAATCCTGCCAAGCTTCAAGGAGATGGGTGCAGGGGTTTGGGGGAACCTGCATCCCAAATTCTTGAAAGCAAAACTCATGTCATGTATATGTGTTAAGCCACAGTGGGGTCAAAACTGCAGGGGTGATAGCCCCTGTGGAGGCCACAAAGCCTGACAAGTTTCAAGAAGATAGGTATAGGGGTTTGGGGGAAACTGCTCCTCAAGCTGTGGACAAGCAAAACTCATGATGTGGGTCACACTGTGTATGTTAAGGCGCAGCAGGGTGCTAGCGCCTACTGAGGCCATGAAGCCTGCCAGCTGTCAAAGAGATAGGTGCAGGGGCTTCTGGGTTCTGGGGCCCTGTACCTCTGGCTTCTGACAAGCAAAACTCATGCCATGGGTGCAAAACTTGGCAGGATTTGTGGCCTCCACAGAGGCTATCATCCCTGCAGTTTTGACCCCACTGTGGCTTAACACATACATGTGACATGAGTTTTGCTTTCAAGAATTTGGGGTGCAGTTTCCCTGAAACCCCTGCACCTATCTCCTTGAAACTTGGCATGCTTTGTGGCCTCAGCAGGAGCTACCATCCCTGCGGTTTTCACCCTACTCCTCCAAGCACCAGGAGGTCAGGTATGCTGTGGGCACCCAGCATCCCCAGCTGTGGGACTGTGGGTCCTGGAAGAACCTAGAGTCCTCAGCAGTTGTAGGACTCGCAATGCCAATGGGCAAAGTGTACCCCTGTGGCTGGGTGCCCACAGCTGATAGGGCTCCCAGCCACAGGAATGACCCTGTACATATGCAAATTAAAGCTTGATAGCAAGCAGGTATAAAGTCAGTACACATTTTTGAGGTTTAACTTTATAGCTAGTTGAAGCTTTTTATCATGATAGTCGGCATCGTTTATGGTCGGAACTACGATGGTATCTGATCGTCTTCGAACCTCTGACTTTCTTTCTTGATTAATGAAAACATTCTTGGCAAATGCTTTCCCCTTTTTCCTGCTTGCGCCGCTCCAAGCATTTCCCCTCTAGCGGCACAATACGAATGCCCCCAGCCATCCCTCTTAATCATGGCCCCAGTTCTGAAAACCAACACAGTAGAACCGAAGTCCTATTCCATTATTCCTAGCTGGAGTATTCCAGCGACCAGCCTGCTTTGAACACTCTAATTTTGTAAATGCTTCGGACCCCCAGGACACTCAGTTAAGAGCATCAAGGGAGCACTGAGAGGCAGGGGATGGGACAGGCAGTAGTGATCGGTAGGGAGGACAAGAGGAAAAGAGAAGTGGGGGGGAAGTAACTGCCTTGTCTGAACACCGGCGGAGGACCGCCAGCCAGCAAAGAGCCCTTCCAAAAGTTTTGCCGCATTGAGTGGTGAATGGAGTGCAGCAGCGGCGTCTGGGCCTGTGGGAGACATGGCCCAGGGGGTTCAGGCCAGGTGTGACAACCAGACTCGGACCAGGACCTCATGTGCCAAAGTGTCCGCCATCTCCCTTCTCGGCAACGGGACACAAAACTCAGGTTTGGTCCTTGGGTGCAGCACGGTTCTGCCCCAGAGCTTTCTCTCACTGCCCTTCTGGAACAAAAGATGGGCATTTAGGGTCCTGAAAAACATGTCCCTGAAAATCTCTGTGAACATTTCCTCAAAGTTTTATGAATGTGGCACCTGGCCGCACCACCGGGGCAAGCCTGGATTGACTGGCCAGGCAGCGTGCTCAAAAATGACCCCACACGGACTTCCAGACCATGCCAGGGGGCCCACGTCAACTGCTTGCCACACAGCAGAGCAAAATTTTTCTAAGTCCCATGCCAGACACCAGGTCAACCCGGTTCTCTGGGAGGAGAACCCCGCCACCCTTGAGGAAGCACATGTAGCTGGTCTCAAACTAACCAGTTTATTGTGCAATACCTATAATGTGTAGAGGGGGCCTTAAGGACACTGAGAATCAATGAGACCTAGGTTTCTAATCCCCAAGGTACTACTGAAAGTGAGGATTAGAGACTTTGAAAAATCTACCTTATCCAACATTTTAATTTGAAGCATGGTTACAGAGTTGAGTTGTTATGTATTGGTGATGAATAATTATGGGAGATATTTAAGGAGAACCTTTTTTGAAAAATATATGGTTGGCATTGTGCTTTTTCCCCCATTACAATATGCTGTTATTAATATACCATGCAAAGGTAACTGGTACCTTGTCATTTTCAGCAGAGAAAAGGATGGAATGGTCACTAAATGAACAGTTCTCACTGCTGCATCCTTCTAGGTCAGGGTTAAGGCACAACATGGATGTCACTGGATGAAATGCACAGTTCCATTGGTTATATCCTCTACACCAGCCTGTGACTAAATAAAGGACCTTCTTCTCCAGTACTGTCACACCTTTCACATGAAATTCTAAAAAACCCAGAACACAATTAGGAAAGAGGAGAAGACTGAATTCATGTCAACCTATCTGCATATGTAAAAATTTAAGGATTGTCCCAGACTTGAGAAACCCTTGACATTTCCTTAAAAATACAAAAATCAGAAGCCACTAAATTCACCATATACTAATGATAACAATCAGGTTCCCCAGTCTAACCCCTTGCTGATGCAGTATTGTTTCTTTACTGGGGTTCATCTTTATTCTGAAAGCTCTGTAAGGAAAAACCTGGCTTATGTCAGGTAGTGTGGAACCTCTCTTGAACAATGCCATGCAAACTAGCCACTAACTTCAAAGTGAACAAAGGATTCCCACACAAATATAGGTGAAGATTCAACAATATATAGCACTAGAACAGAACCTTGCACAGGTATGAAGACCAGTATGAAGCCTCCACTGAAACTGGTACAGATTTCAAGCCTGAATACTTAACACCCACTACATGTTATGTGGGAGGAAGAAAACAGATTCATTTGAGCAAGTAAATTCAAGCATTCTGCTGTCAAGGATGTTTACCTATCATATAAAAATTTGATGACTAGGGCCACAGTCCTACAATTCATAGCTCAGGGATGAACATGTGCATTTGCACAGAACCCAGATTAGTACCAACAATGATACACCATTGCCTCTGCTTCTGCTTCGGGTAGTTCATCCCTAAAATGAAACTAGATACCTGCTACTTGAGTTTACAATTGTGAATTCCTACAATGCAATTAAACCTACAGAAAGCAGCATGCTTGACTTTCCAGAAGAATTTAGGGGTGTGTGAAGTGTTCCCTATTCAATTCAGATTTGGATTCGGCCAGAATCAGTGACAGTGATTTGACTCATTGATTTGGATCACTGTGCCTAATTCGATTCAGCTGAATTCGAATCTGAAGATTAAATGCTGATTCAGAGAATCAGCAATTCAGACACAGACAGTTTTAAAAGTTTTTTCTACATACCTTGAGGTAGCAGGCATAGCTTGTGATCACTGTAATGCTGGGGTGCATGGAGCATCCCACAGGAGTGCAGGGGGGCCCACCATGTGCTCGGCAGCAAACCCAAAAGTGGACCAGAAGTACTTTCAGTCCACTTCCTGGTCTTCTGGGGAGCATGCTGGCTGCAGGGGAACGCCAGGTCCCCCCACCCCCAGACCCAGGAGGCACCAGTCACTGAGCCAGGTGGACATGGGGGGTGGTCCCGCTGAGCGCTACCTGGAAGAACCGGAAGTGAACTGGAAGTGCTTCTGGTCCATTTCTGGATCTGCTGCTGAGCACGCTGGGGGCCCCCCATGCTTCAGTGGCACGCTCCATGCGCCCCACCATCGCAGCAATCATGAGCCCCTGCTACCTAGAGGTATGTAAAAAAACATGTAAAACTGTCTCTCTGTCCAAATCTCCGAATCTTTCCAAATCTCTCTGAATCAATTTGGAGGGTTCCAATTCGATTCAGAGAGATTAAAGGGTCCTCTGATCTGATTCAGATTCTGAGATTCAGCCACTGAATTGGGCTGAATCTCTGCCAAATAGAATCAGGGACCAAAGCTTTGCACAGCCCTAATAGAAATCTAACATTTTTCACCCCTATCCTAGAGCTTCCAGGATAAGCTCTAGCAGGTTCACACATCACTGTGCTATAACAGTTAGTAAATACTTGATTATTAAAGATGATCACTGGTTCAACTATGGACTGGGGTCATTAATGCACCATGATCCTCTGATAGTGGCATACTATAGGCATGTCTATAGTAACTTACCTATTAATGCACAGCATAAACTCCCATGTCAACCTGGGATTGCAGTATGTTGAGCCAGGGCTTGCTGCATTTACTGTGCAGCTAATTAGTCAACTGCACAGTAAGCATGTACCCCGTAGGATCTTCTGGAAATATGGAAACATTTGAAGAAGTCAGGGTACAAATCTTCCTTTAGTTTATATGCATAGACTGCTTTAAATCCTCCTAAAAGTAAACTGAAGTTATCCAAATATGTCAGAGGATAGCCAAAAATTTGGGGTACTTAGAGTTTCAAAGAAATTACATTTGGATTTTAGGGATAGAATAAATTCCAAAATCCAATATCAACAACTTAAATTCATAGAAATACCCATGGTCACTGCATGTTTGTGCCATTTATCTATTTGCATCACATCGAAAACTGTATCTCCAGAATAGCCAGGTATTACATCCATAAATTGTAGATATAGTTTCTGGTTGCTTTAGCACAAGCAATTAACAGTGGCAGCCAAACTTGGACAAAGAATACTTCCTCTGGGTAGCTTTTTCTGAAAAGGAAGTCAAGGCTAAAACTCCTGAGCTCAACTGGCTAGAGACAGCATTATTAGATCAGTGCTGCTAGTCTGCCAGCTGGAATGTTTTTCCTACAGGAAAAATAGTCAGCCGATCTTTGTTCAAGGTAAAATATGGCAATCTTCTGCTCTACGTCTGCTTCATGTTTCTGGGTGAAAATTAAGGTTTGCATGTTCCCTTCCTAAATAATCTGGCCAAAAGTCAGTAGCAAAAGAATGAAGTAAAATAAATAAATAAAAATAAAAACAGGCACAACCAAGTATTTTTGAGGGCAGTTGCATCAGGTGTTTGATTAGGACATTTTATGTCAGTTTAGCAAGCTGATACCAGTAATTTTCCCTTGTGCCAATCATATTGCACTCCAGTTTCTAAGCTTTAATTTAAGAGAGGCCAAGCTTTTATCCCCTATGTTTAGAAAAATAGTCCTTGCAACATTCAAAACATGAACGGAATTGAAATGTAGCCATATCTGCACCCATCTGCAGATAATGTGAAATGAGATTTATCAGTTCATTGCAGTGGGTGCATGTACATGTGCACTTTACTGTAGAGCTTGACTGTGGAGCCAGGGTGCAGCAACCCCAGGCTGGCAGACTGACCTCCTGGGCCCTCTGCCAACTAGGACTGCTCTGCCCTCACTCAACATACTGTGGTCCCGAGCACACATATAAATGCTGCACCTAGAAGCAATAAACTGTGCCAGAGTTTACTGCTATGTGCTAGTTGTACATGTAGCTGCACCCAGTGGGTATTAATTACAGAGCCTAATAATAATAATTCAGATTTTAACAGGAAGCATTTAATCATTTTCAAATCCAAGAAAGAGAAGGAACTGATCACGTTGAGAAGATGTATATAGTCTCTGATATTAAGAATGGATAGAGCTTACATTAGCTGGAGCAACTGGAATGACTACAGTCTCAGCAACAGGGAAGCTGTGATCATCAGAAGATCAGTTTGTGAGAAAAGTCCTGCTTTAAAAAATGCAAACAGGCTATGGAAGTAATTCACAACATAAATTTAATAATGAGGCTAATATTTTCCATAATATCCCTAAAATGCTTTAATTCTGCTGAAACATCACCCTAGCCCAAATGGTTAGGCTGCTTCAAGCAGTTTCATTTGACTGAAGTATTTACTAATGACTCTCATGAGAACCAAGTAAAATTCCTCAGAAGACTTGATTCTACATCACTGAAATTGATGGGAATTTTGCGATTGATTTGAAATGGGTGTAGGGTTAGGAAACTAGGACTTGATCACAATCCCATTGAACCCAATGGAAAGACTCCCCTAGATTTCAAAAGAATTTCAATTATGTTTATATACTAAACAAGTTGGATGGAAAATTAATTACATCAGACCTCACTCTTTGTCCAAAACCAAGTATAATATAAAGAAACTGTTGGCAGGGATTTAATTGAAAAATGTAAACAACTCTCAGAATAAAATCCCATGTAAAAGAGACAGCAGCATTCCACCCTGTGAGAATGGTTGAGGAAAATGTATGCAGAAGGTATGACAATGTTCCTGGAAAACAAGCCCTGCTCTGGAAGGTGAATATCAGTAGTGTCACAAAGAGAGTCTAAAGTATTACAAAGATCTTTGAACCAGATGGTCAAATTAAGACTCGTATGCATTGATTGCATTTGAAATTCAGTGAGAGTTACATCCATTAGAGAAGTCGTTTGCAGCTACTCTGCAATATTAAATATGGCAGAAGCCACAAAACACCTAAAACACAGTTCACACTGGAAGGTAATATACTCAAGGCCCTGCTCCTAAAATGGGATGATATGTGATGCTTGAAGAAGTGTTGTAACTAAGCCATCTTTTCTTTTCTTTCACAGGTTTTCACCAGCAATATTTTTATACCTGATTAGTATAGTTCCATCATTGTGGCTACTAGAAACTCGTCATGAGAATCAGGTATTTCTTATGTTTACATAGCTGAAAACTGATATGCTTCTTGATTCATTCACTCATGGTTTTGGAAGTCTCTACTATTCATTTTACTTTCTGGGTCTACTAATATAATTCCAACTCTAGTAATACACTTTTTAATACTTAATTAGTTTTGCTAATTTTGGCTTAATGAACCTTCTTACTAACTAGACCAAAGCCAGTCGCATTTCTATTCAGCTTATGGAGTTGGGACAGGAAATCTCAAGGTTAATCAGTTCCAGGTTTTCACTCTGGGTTACTGGTCTGAATCCAGCTCAGGCTGAGAAAAGGCATTACAGTCAGAGAGGTACTTTATCATAAGCATATGAAATAAGATGTTGGTTTCAGTACAGTAATAGACAGGTATCATGGCCACAAGCAAGTCAAAAATTGAAACATCTGCTCAATTTTGTTAGGTTGCTGCCAACATCATTCTACTTAGGAATGAATGATATTTGCCCCTTTATACAGGGCCACCACTTCAGCCTTATTTTAAGAGTTTAAAGAAGGAAATTAATGGTTTGCAGCCCTTGCACTGGCCAGAGATTAATTTACTTTTGCCCTTTGTAAATAAATAGAGGTCCTCAGTATCCAGATCTACTACTCACCTAAATAAATATATAGAGATGGGACTGGGACATAATAGAACTAGAACTCGATTCTGTTTCTAGCTCTACCACGGAGACACTTTTTAACTTTAAGCAAGTAATGTTGTCTTTGCCTCTGTTTGCCTGGAAAAGGGTACTGGATACTTACTACCCTTTGTGAAACAGTTTGAAATCCCTGAAATAAGAGTGTAAATAAAGGCAAAGGGTCAGATGCAACCTAAACCTAAAACTGCAATCCTCTTCACTGCTACCACCTAACTTGAAGGTGCTTGAAGTCCACGGGTGCTCGACTATTTTACCATAAACCAGACCCAGTACCTAAAATTCTGCTTTTTCTCATGCCCCAAAACACCACATTCTTAACAGAGCCAAGCAGCTTAGTGCCCAGTTCATTCCAGTTGAATTCCTGAAATATAGGAGTTGCTCTGCATTGAGATGCTAAATCTGGAAGGTGTTAATAGATCGTGCCTGAGTGTAACATAGAGTGGTGGCTACCACTTTCTTTTCAGCCAGATGAAGAGGAGTTTGCCCCCTTCTATATAATAGCCTGGGGTTTAGAGCACTTGCCTAGGATGAAAAAGATCCATGTTCATTTATCCCCTCTGCATGAGGTGATTCAGACACATCTCCCTGGAGAGTGCTGTAATCACTAGTTTACTCTGGGATGGGAGCTGAAGCTGCTGTACCATGTAGAAGAGAATTTGAGATCTGTTAGGCCAGAAAGAGGGCATTATTAGATGTAATATTAGATGTAAAGGACTGAATCATGACTACTGTCTGCAGCACCAGGTAGAGATTAGTCCCCAGTCCTAGAGCCAATTCTGCATGAGCCCCAGCCTCTGCCAACAGAGTTTAGAGCAGCCTTACTGTTCCTTCTCCCCTGGCATCCCCTTTATGAGAGCAGAACATGGAAGAACCAGGTAACCCAGATCTTCATTACCTGGTGATGCTGTCATCTCCCTACAAAGGGCATCTTTAGATCTCCATAATGCTTTCAGAATGACAGTAAGAGGACTTAGCTCAGATCAGGATTTGGCCCTATGAGTTGCATTAAAATTTTCTTCAAAGGAACCTGAGAGGCACATTAACTGAAAGCAATAGAAAAAAAAGACTTAAATTAGATCAAAGCAATCTGGCTGCCTTATTTTCTACTTTGAAACATTGTTAGATCACACAGAAGCAGTATCAAATATTCAAAATTGTGTTTACACTGAAAATGCCTCAGGCTCTTTCTAAATACAGCGGCAGGAATTCATTGACTTCATGTTTTGCCAAACCTTCCTAAACGTTCATGGACAGGTAATGCAGATATTGAGAACATTTGTCATAGTTAACTCTGCTCCAAGAAAACAAGCTAATTCTGTAGTCAAAGGCAGCAATTTATTTCCCAAAATGATGTTAAAACATGGCATATTTTGTACCTTATTGATATACTGCTACTCTGAATTAAAGAGGGAGTATATCAAATGAACAGTCTAACTTATTCCTGAAAGTACATCTGACTGGGAGGAGAAGAGTAGCCACAAAATTCAGACATGGAGCCCATATTAGCATAGGTTACTAGACTGCTTTTCTGTGTGAGAGGTAAACTTCTAATGTAGTAAAAAACAAAAAAATTACAAAATTATCCCCAAAATATTTAAAACTATTCTAAACTGAACACTAAGAAGAATCCAGTCAGTCTCACAGAGACAACCACTGCTCTTTGTTTTAAGTTAGAATTTTATGATCAAAATCTTGTACATCAGACTGCTAATAAAGCACATTTTTCATGACTTTCTCCACCTTTTTTGCATACAAAAAACTATACTTAAATAAATGTCCTCTTCCTACCTTACACCCCAGCTTCTCTTTATGTTTAATCCTATAAGGAAACCATAGTGCAAAATGCATTAATTACATCACATTTATTTTTATAGCAACAGATCCTGACATCACCAAAAGAAATTTCATTCCTATAGCCACCAATATATATCCCACAATCCAGGAAATTGCTAAGATCTCCAAATTCTCATAACTTCCAGCTGTCAGTGGGAATTGAGGATACTCTGATTTTTGTATTATTGGGTCTAGAATACAGCTAGTTAAATGACTCCATGTGGAAACTTTATTACCATATTTACTTGATTATAAGATGAGGTTCCTCCCCAATCAGCATGGGGAAATACTCCTCATCTTACATTTTTTTTAGACTTCATAGATGTTAGGGCTGGAAGGGACCTTGAAAATCATGAAATCCAGCCCCCTGCCCCAGGGGAGGAAGTCAGCTAGGGTCAAAGGACCCCAATAAGATCATCCAAGCATTTCTTGAATAAGTCCAGAGTAGGTACCTGCACCACATCTGGAGGGAGTCTATTCCAGGTCTTCTGGGCTCTGACAGTAAAGAAATTTTTTCTTATGGTCAGCCTAAAATGGTCTTGTAGGAGTTTTTCCTTGGGGCGCTCTGGTAAACAGGTGTTCTCCCAGATCCTGATGAACACCCCTTGTCCACCAGGTCCCCTCTGAGCCTCTGCTTTTCCATACTGAAGAGTCCCATGGCTCTCAGCCTCTCTTCATAGGGCCTATTCTCTTGCCCTCTAATCAGGCACGTGGCTCTCCTCTAGACTCTCTCAAACTTCTTGACATCCTTCCTGAATTGTGGAGCTCAAAACTGGATGCAGTACTCCAGCTGCAGCCTCACCAAAGCCAAGTACAGTGGGAGGATGACATCCTGAGATTTACTTGAGAAGCATCTATAGATGCAACCCAGGGTTTTGTTTGCCTTACCAGCTGCGGCTTCCCATCAATCATGAGCCCCAAGTCTCTTTCAGCAGTGGTGCTGTAGCACTGCTGAGCCTGTAAGTATGCTGCGGGTTCTTTTTCCTGAGGTGGAGTATCTTGCATTTATCAGGATTGAACATCATCAGATTTGTGTTCACCCACTTACTAAGCTTATCCAAGTCAGCCTGGATCACTAGCCTGTCCTTGGGTATGGACAGTATGCCCCAAAGTTCAGGATCATTGGCAATCTTAGCCAGTGCACTTCTGACACCAATATCCACATCATTGATAAAGATGTTGAAGCGAGCCGGTCCAAGGACAGAGCCTTGAGGGATGCCACTGGTTACAGAGTGACATAATGACTTGCTGCCATCAACCACTACTCTCTGGGTCCGACCTCAGAGCCAATTTCCCAGCCGTCGGACTGTGGTGTAGCCAAGGCCACAGCTGGCCAATTTTTCCATGAGGAGGTCATGGGACACCAGATCAAAGGCTTTTTTAAAGTCCACATATATGACATCAATCTCTTCTCCCTTGTCCAGGTGATATGTCACCTGGTCATAGAAGAAGGTGAAATTAGTCAAGCAACCCATGCTGGCTATCCCTCAGGATGTTGCCCTCAGCCTGCTTGTCCAGAAGGGCCTCCTTGATAATTTTCTTGAGAATCTTACCAGGGATTGAGGTCATGCTGATTGGCCTGTAATTCCCGAGATCTACTTTCTGCCCTTTCTTGAAGATGGGTACCACATTGGCCTTATTCCAGTCTTCAGGTACTTCACTTGAGCACCATGAATTTTCAAATATTTTTGCCAATGGTTGAGCTATGACACTCGCCAGCTGCGTGAGTACCCTAGGGTGTAATCTGTCAGGACTAGCTGACTTGAAGGTGTCCAGCCACTCAAGGTGATCCTTTACTAGATCAACACCGATGCTGGGTATAAATATACCTTCACCCTGGCTGTCCTGTATCTTGCTAGGCAGGGTGGTCCCATTGGACTGATGAAAGACTGACGTGAAGCACCCATTAAGCAGGTTGGCCTTTTACTGGGTGTCAGTTATCAGCTGTCGTGTTTGGTTCAGCAGGGGTCCAATGTTACCCATGATTTTTTTCTGACTCCCTACATAGCTGAAAAAGGATTTTTTTGTTATCCTTGATATGTGAAGCCAGATGGAGCTCGGTTGCAGCCTTGGCTTTCCTGATCCACTCCCTGAAGGTACAGACCAGTGCTGAGTACTCCACCTTGGTGATAATTCCAACCTTCCATCCTTTATAAGTCCCTCTTTTGAGGAGTAGGAGGTCCTCGAGTTCCCTCCTGAGCTAAGGGGATTGCTGCATCCTTTTGCTACCCTTGCTCCGAGATGGGATAGCTATCCCTTGTGCTGTCAGGATCACTCCCTTGAGGAGTAAGCACTCCTCTTTGACTCCTCTTTCAGTCGAGTCATGATCCCTTAGGACCTTGACAATGAACCTCCTGAGCTTGTCAAAGTCAGCTTTCCTGAAGTTGAGGACTTCTGCTTTGCTGACTGACTTGCCAGCTTTGCAATGGATAGTAAAGGTGATCAGCTCATGGTCACTATCACTCAGCTTTCCATCGATTCTTAGGTCACTGACTATGT